GAAGGGCATCAGATGTTGGGTTCTATAAACCTGCCGCAGTCTGGCTGGGCACAAAATCACGAGCCACTCAAGCAGGAACAAAGTTTATTTTTTGAAACTGCCGCCAATGTCCGGTACTGCCCGGGAAGATTTTTTCCACCCACGCGGCCTCCTCCCGGACCCGCAGAGAGCTCCTCCCCCGGAACTCCCTCCTACTGTACTTCCCCAACCAATGGGAACTCTCCAGGAGGCCTAGGTGAACAGCAGGGGTCCAATAGCCATATGAATGCAAATCTTAACATAATCATATCATCTCAATGGCTAGCTGGCGTCACCTTTCGACTAAAAATGCCATGCATCATATACTTGGCTCTTAGCATAAACCTACAAAAAGTTTATTTACTAATTAACATCTTAATCATTTAGGTGAGGCTTTTCTTTAGAATTTAGAATGACAAGTAAAGGGAGGGGAAGTAAAATTAACTCTGCCAAGTACAGCTCCCAGCAGCGTAAAGCCACTGTTATACTGTTTAGCGTCATAGTTTTTTTTCCTTTTGTTTTCATCAATCACCATTTATTTTGGCCCCAAATAATATATTGTTCAATGCATGTTATACTTGACTATTTAAGGTTTCTGAAATAAAGTACCAGCCCTTGAGTAGTTTACAACCTAGAGATGAAATAAAATTAGAGCTAATAATGCATATCTCTATATTGTCCAAGTATATAGTGATGCGAGGTTTTAATTGCTTGTCTATACAAAAAAGGACTTTTTAGAGAAGTAGCATTCTGATAGCATTTAAAGGATGAGAAAAACACCATTTTTTAATAGAAAGGTAGAGGAAGACTTTTCTAAAGCAATGTTTATTTAGACTTCAAGGAAGTAAAGGAACATTTTGATTATCTGTTGATTCATTAAAAAAAAACAAAAAACAACCCATGCTTGTATTACTTACTGGCTTAAAACAAGGGATGGCAATTTTTTTCCATAAGGGATCAGATAGTAAATGTTTGAGGTCTTGTGGGCATACAGATTCCGTCACAGTTATTCAGCTCTGTTGTTGGGTAATAGATAAACATCTATTGACAATATATAAATGAAGAGTGTGACTTGTTTGAAGTGAAATTTTATTTACCAAACTGGTGGCAGGAGCCGGGCATAATGGCACATGCCTATAATCCCAGCAGCTCCGGAGGCTGAGACAGGAGGATCACAAGTTCAAAGCCAGCCTCAGCAATTTAGCAAGGTGCTGAGTGACTCTGTGAAACCCTGTCTCTAAAATACAGAATAGGGCTTGGGGGTGTGACTCAGTGGTTGAGTGCCCCTGAGTTCAATCCCCAGTACCCCACCCCACCACCCCACCCCCACCAAAAAAAAACTGGTGGCAGATTGGATTTAACATAAACACTGTGGTTTATTGGCCCTTGATTTAAAACAACAGAATAATTACTTTGCTTACAAATATGTGATTTGGATAGATTTTGGCAGGGCTGCCCCTGTTCTCTTCTCAGCATGCACTAGAGAGGTTTGAAGCCTAAAGATTAAAATCAAATATAGCCTTACTCATAGCTTGGGCTGAAACATTGCAGTCAACCTTGACCTCCTGGGGCTAGTTTTTACAATTTTTTAGACAAACATATTACTTGTGTCTCTATGGTCTCTCCAATTGGTTTTGATAGCATGGAAGCTTCAGGTTAGCCAGATTTATATATTACTTCAGGGCTTCCAAGATGTTTGACCAGCAAGAGAGGTAGAAGCTGTATTGCCACTTTTAGGCTTGCTTCAAAAGTCACTTGGTTACTTGTCACTGCTGTTGCATTTTACTTGATTAGGTCAGGGTTTGGGCAAACATGTCTTCCTGTCCAAATCTATCCATCTGTTTTTATTAACATAATTGTTTTACAAAAGTCATACTTATTCCCGTATGTGTTATCATAACTGTTTTCTTGCGACAGTGCTAGGGTTGAGTTGTTAGGACAATACTGTGGTCTGCAGAGCCTAAAAATATTTATCTGGCTATTTGTGGGAACAGTTTGTTACTCTCTGATGTGAGCACTTTCAGCAGCCTACCCAGGTTCAAGGAGACGGGTAGACTCTACCCCTCAATGGGAGGTTGGCAAAGTACTAGAAGAGTGCGTGGAACTAGAAATATTGTTTGAACCATTTTTACAAAATAGCCTGCCACAGAGAGTAAGCCATTTATACACCTACAGGAAGTCATTTCCAGGTGACAGAACAGATTTTGACAGGAGCATGCTAGTCCTGTTCACAGAAAGGCAGCATGCCAGTGTTGCTGGAGAAGAGTGGGTAAAGAATAGTGGAAGATGAGGGCAGACTGTTGCTGGAGCCAGGCCATAGGGCCCTACTATAGTAAGGACTTTGGCTTTTATTGAGGTAAGAGTCCATTGAGAGTTTTAAGAAGAGTGACAAAATCTGACATTTTTATGGATCATGTTGATTGCTCTATGGGGAATAGATTATGGGGAACAAGGGCAAAAGCAAGGAAAATGGTTAGCAGGATATCACAGTCATCCAGGCAAGAGAAGAAGATGGAGTAGAGAGTTAAGAGAAAGAGAGAAGTAAGTTGTCTCTGAATATATGTTTGAATGTACATTTCATAATATTTGCTCATGGATTGGATAATTGAATGAGAAGGAAAGAGAGAGGTAAAAGATTACTCAAGGTTTTTATACTAGGCAAAGTAGATGGATGGATGGAGATATGGGGGGAACAAGCTTGGAGGAACAAATCAGGCTTTCAGTTTTGGCCATGGTAAATTAGACATCTTGATGGAAATAGTGAAGTAATTATTTAGTTAAGAGTAAAGTTCAGCTGGGCACTATTGCACACACCTATAGTCCCAGCAACTCAGGAGACAAGAGGATGGCAATTACAAAGCCAGTTTGGACAACTCAGTGAGACATTATCTCAAAAAATAAAAAGAGCTAGGGATATGTAGCTCAGTGATAGAGTGCCCCTTTTCAATCGCAGTACCACGAAAGAAAAGAAAACCGAGATGTGGTGATATAAATTGATGACTTGGCTTCAGAGCCTAGAGGTTTTAGGAAAAAAGGCTGGCCCATGATTTCAAGTGGTTATGAGGAGCAGTCAGTACACCCACCCATCTTCATGCTCAGTGAAAATTTGTTTTATTAATCCTGTCCATTAAGATTTTGTGCTTTTTTTAAGCAGTGGTAACCCAGAAATTTTAATACGAAACTCTACAAAACAAATTCAAATGGAATGTGCCTGAGGAAGGGAGGGAAGCTGTTCCCTGTTTCTCCTCTGACCTCTCACTACCTCCTAGACACTGAAGCATTGTCCTTTCCTTCTTGGACCCCTTTGAAAACCATTGCCTTTCCGTGCTGGGAGATGGATATTCTCAGATTTATCACATTCTAGGCTCCTCCTGCTAAAAATCCTTCAAAGGCTACCATTGTCTTCAAATTTCTAATAGGGGTCACCAAGGCCCTCCAGGAAGGCCCCTAATTATTTCTCTTGCTTTCTTATCACATCCCCCCACCTTGCATTCTGTGCTCCACCCACACTGACCTGGTTTCACTTCCTCGAATCCATTTGTTCTTCCTTCTTGGCTTTTCACCTATTGTTCCTTTGCTTAGAATCATATTCATCTGACCAGCACCTATTATACCCATCCTCAGGTTTCAATTTGGACTTCATTTTTATGTGATAGCTTTCTTTTTTTCCTAATATGCTTTCCTGCTATCTTTTTCTAAATCAACCTGCATTTATCTTATCTTTGCACTTTGCATACTTCGTGATTTATGATTTTCTTTTTTACATTCATCTTTCATACTATGGGCTGGGACCTCCCTAGAAGCAGGGACCATGTGTTTCTCACCATTGTAGGTCAGCACGGGGTCTAGTTTCCAAAGGCACTTAATAAACATTGACAATATGAAGGATGTATAACTTTTAAGGTGAATTGTGCTTTCTTGGTAATGCAGGAATTTGGGAGAATGTCTACATTTTGCACCACATTGTTTATTAAATTGGAGGGAAAATAGAAAAATGTAATAATGTATGATAAAATTATCTCAATGCAGAAAGTATGTTGCAATACAAAAGTAGAAAGAAATACATAAAACAAATAAGATTATTTTTGAATATGATTGAATTACAAGTTCTTATTTCTTTAGTATATTTCTAATTTTCTGTAATTTATTTGAAATATTTTAAAGAATTTAGTATCTCATGCCTTTTAAGCATCAAAATGCATGAGATGCTAAATTTAGAATCTTTAGCTTCTTGGGTAATTTTGTTCCCAAGTTTGAGTTAATTTTGCTAGTTCCTAAGACCTAGAACTTCAATCTCTACTTCAAATAATCAAAAATGTCTTGTTTCTTCCCTTCTGTGTCAGTATCAAAATGTTTTCATTTTCTGTTTATTTTTTTCTAAGATAAAATATCATATTGGGCTGGGATTGTGGCTCAGTTTTTTTTTTTTTTTTAAAAGTATCATGTTGTTCAAAAAAAGCAAAGATGGTACTGTTGTTTTTTTAAACTTTTTCCCCATTATCAAATGAGCCTTCACTTTTTTCCCTTTTCCTTTGAAGCATCATATTGCCACAAAAATGGTACTTAAATATTTGTAAAGTGTTTTACATACTCCATCTTCAGTTTATTGATGTAGCAACTGTAAAAGTAACTGAGGTTCAGAGAAGTTACATGACTTGTTCAAGGTTACAAGCTTGGTTAGAGGTTTCTGGGACCAAAAGATCTTCTCAATCTTAATAAAACCCCCTCCTTGTAGTACCCACACAGTGATTATTTTTCTGATATATGCATGTATATATTCCTTTTAAAAATACCTTTATCTACATGTAAGTGAGCTTACAATGTATTTCTAATATAAGGCTATTGCTAAAGTTAAAGCTAGATTAAAAACCTGTCCTTTTGAATTCTGTAATGTTAAAAAAAAAAAAGCCAAACATCTTTTTTTCAGGTTTGAAGTTGTTTGTATGCTGTATTCTGATGCTTTCTCCCCATTTCCTCTACAGTTATGCATGCCTAAAGGGCTGTCATTCAGAACCCAAACTGAAAGTAAAGACCCTCAGTTTCACTCATTTATAATTACCCGGGAAGATGGTTCTCGCACCTACGGTTTTGTTCTCACTTTTTATGAAGAAGTTACAAGTAAGCAAATCTGCACAGCAATGCAGACACTCTACCAGATGCACAACGCTGAGCAATACAGCAGTGTTTATGCTTCATCCTCATGCAGCATGGACTCACTGGCAAGCAGCATTGATGAGGGCGATACAACTTCCCTTTTGAAACTCCAGCGATACAACTCCTATGATATCAACAGAGATACCCTGTATGTTTCAAAAAGTATATGCTTGATCACACCACTACCTTTTATGCAGGCCTGCAAGAAATTCCTCATCCAACTTTACAGGGCAGTTACCTCACAGCAGCCACCACCCTTGCCGCTTGAGAGCTACATCCATAATATTCTTTATGAAGTACCTCTTCCACCTCCAGGGAGATCACTGAAATTTTATGGTGTTTATGAACCTGTCATCTGCCAGAGGCCTGGGACCAATGAACTCCCCCTCTCTGACTACCCTCTTCATGAGGCTTTTGAGCTCCTGGGATTAGAGAACCTGGTGCAGGTATTTACCTGTGTTCTTTTAGAAATGCAGATCCTTCTCTACTCACAAGGTAGGTGTTATTTTCCCAAAACAAGTATTTACATCCTCAAATACTGGATTTCCTTTAGCTATATTGCTAGAACCATGTAATTAATGGTCAGGAGTTTTTTCTGTTTTGTGTAAAAGGAACTGGTATGGATGGAACCAATAACTACATGTTGTTTCTCTTTGAGTTGGCAGTGCTATAGAGAAAAACAGGAAAGAGTACAATAATATTACCTAGACCAGTTTGGACATATTTAATTTTTATGGAAATAGCCCTTTTTTCCTGATAATATATAATCCTCATTAAAGAAACATTCATTCTTTTCATGAAAGTGAAGAAAACCAGTTACTATGAGGAGGGATATATAGACTTCCCATTTTTTACAAATCAGTAAAGGTTCAGATGAAAATTCAGCTGACATTGGAAAGGAATAAATGAAATTGATGACTCTGAAGTGTCTTGAAGCAGTCAACTTTGGAACTTTGCCTGTGGGAACATTTCACTTGAGAGAAGAAGAGAAGTTGTACAGGCATGAAACAGACAAGACTTTCCCAGTTTAACTAATAGTTCTGCCAGAGGGTGTGTGTGTGTTTGTTATCATTGTGATATCTTTTATTCATAAATTTCCCTACACACTTGAAAACTAACAAACTGGGTTTTATTTTTCCAGTACATTAACATTTACTAATGTTGAGCTTAGACAAGGATACCAGTTCCCATCTGAATATGAATTTACAGAAGAAATAGAGATGTCATGTCTTAAGGGGTAGTGAATTGAAGAAAATTATAAAATAGTACCTGTACCTTGATGGATCCTTTGAAAAATGTGGCATAAATATTTGGGTTAGCGTTTTGCTAACTTGTATTTAGGCTGGCAGAATGCTAGTGCAATCTCCTGACTGCTGCTGTCAGGCTTATTTTACCACTTTTCTTTTTTTATTTTTCTATTTTAAATTATAAGTGAGGCTGAGCCAAGTTAGCTATATTTGTACTTTCCCATCTTGTGTGTATGTTGACACTATTTGTGTGTTGACAACCCTTCATGAGGTTGTGTTTTCTTCCAGTTTATCCTACGTAATGTTCTTTGATAATATGTTCTAGTGTCTCAGTTTTTGTTGACAGGAAGTTCTTCTCTGATAGCCAGTCTAAATTTATTTTCTTTCTTTTTGCTCTCACTTTTTTAGTGCTCATCATTACTTCTAAATCACCTACTAGGAACTGAAAATTTTAACTTTAAGTAAATTCCTCTTCCTAACCTGAAGAAGGTAGAGTTGAAGAGTCACATCATGTAGTATTCAAATTTTGGAGTATTTCAATTTTTAGATTTTTGAATTAGGAATGCCCAACCTATATTGGTTTTAGAAGTCATAACAATCCTGGGTTCAAATTCTGCCCTATCCTTTAGTAACTATAATGAAGGGCAAGTTACTTAATTTTCCTAAGTGTCAGTACCCTTATTTTTATGAGGATAACAGTCCCCACCCTGTCCCACTGATTTATTGTGAAGGTTAAATAAGAAAACCTGTACAAAGTGCTTGGATTATAAAGTGGCACTAAATGGAAGAGAAGCTGATATTACTGTAGTTATTATTAGTTTAATGTAATCTTCTGTAAATTATGCTTATCTTAAGTTGTAGAGGTCCAACATATTACTTAATTTAAACTACAGCTTTTAAAAAATTACATAGTCAAGACATTTGTTTGATCTGGGGTCTTGCTAAGGGTAGAGCACTTGCCTGGTATGTACAAGGCTCTGGATTTGATCCCTAGCAGCATACATAGAGTCAAAAGGCTTTTGTTCCAGGATTAAGAGCCTGACAGGGCTGGGGTTGTAGCTCAGTGTGTGTGAGGCACTGGGTTCGAGCCTCAGCACCACATAAAATTAATTAAAGTAAAGGTATTGTGTCCATCTACAACTAAAGAGCCTAATAAATGGGCTGGGAGTATAACTCAGTGATAAGAGTGCTTGGCTAGCATATGTGAAGCCTTGGGTGATGTGATGTGATGTCCTCACCACCAAGGAGTGGAAAAATACTAATAAATGTTCTTTTATCCTGTGTACTGTGCTTTTTTTTTTTTTTTTTAAGAAAATTTGCCATTATGATACTTCCTTTGTTAAATAGCAGTTTATTTTTCACTTGCTTATCTGAACTGAGCCTCCATCTTTCTACTCTGATTTGCTTGTCCCATTTGTTTTAAGGAATCTGTTGAAGTTTTAGTTGATTAATACTACCAATTGATTTTAGTTGTAAATGAAGAAGAATGAGTATTTATGGGCATGTTTTTATTCTCTGAGTAGTTTTTGGTAATTTGGTCTTTTGCTGAGAATATAAGAGACTGAATCCTGAAATAATAGAACTAGATTTTTTTGTGTGTGTATGTGTGAGATGGGATCTTGCTAAGTTGCCCAGGCTAGTCTCGAACTTGTGATCCCCCCATCTCAGCTTCCCGAGTACCTGAGAATTTAAGTATGCACCATCATGTTCAGCTCTTAGAACTATATTTTTTCCCCTATGTGCATACAGTAAAGGCAGGGGTGGGGTGCAGATACAATGATTAACTAAAATCACTTGATATCAGGAATTGTGCTAAAAAAATGCATGTACATATGGGGGTTTTCCCCTACATTTAATCCTCTTACAATTAAATAGTGCTGTAATCCATGTTTTGTTAATGAGGAAATTGAGTCTCAGGAAAGTTAAGTAATCTGTTTAAGATCATATAGCAAATAAGCAATGCGGTGGCACCAAGAATTGGGCTTGGATCAGTTTTTGTCCAAGTACTTAACCACCACATTAATTGTATTGTGCACTGCTTTTAGCCTTTCTTTACCTGTTATCAATATTTATATTTAAATTATGAACTCATTTTTTGGCTCGGTTATAAAGGTGTTGTGCTAAATACTTGCAAAATATAAAATGAAAGCTATGTGTAAAAGCAAATTTTAACATTGACAATCTCTCTCCCATTAGAGAAAGACATTCCATTTAAATACATGAGATGAAAGAATCATTATGTTGATTTGTGCTCTGGTCCCTTCTTTCACTCTTCCTGACTCTGTGTGAGGGGATTAAAGAACATTTTATACTTCATTTCTTATTCACTGATAAATCTATGCCATAAAATTAAAAAAAAAAAAAAATTTCAAGTACTGAACAATTACCATGAAAACCCAAAGTGTATCAGAGTAGATGGTTTTCAGTGATGAAAATGTCACTCTAAACTGATTTGAAATTCTGGTCTACAGCCTATTTAAACAGATTCAATCTGTTATTTAGAGAGTGTGTATATCATAGTCACTTTGCAGTGGTAATAAGCTAGAAATTTTAAGTAGAGAATTCATCCAGGCGGAGAAGGCTCTTTCCTGGAACCCCAAATTAAAAAAAAAAAAAAAAAGCACTTTTGCCGGGCTCTGTGGTGCATGTCTATAATCCCAATGGCTCAGGAGGCTGAGACAGGAGGATCGTGAGTTCAAAGCCAGCCTCAGCAACTTAGTAAGGCCCTAAGCATCTCAGCGAGACCCTGTCTCTAAATAAAGTATAAAAAAGAGCTGGGGATGCGGCTCAGTGGTTAAGGGCTTCTGGGTTCAATCCACAGTGCAAAAAAACCCAAAAAAACAGCACTTTCTTCTATAGCCTGGAAATATGTGGAGCTAGGACAGTGGAAAGAACAGAGTATGATTCTCTTTTCAAAGAATAGTGGAAGAATGAAATATGGGGAATTTAAAACATCATTGTGTAACTTTCTTTCTCCTTTATTTTTTAACTGGAGATTGAACCCAGGGGCACTACTACTGAGCTGCATCCACAGACCTTTTTATTTTGAGACAGGATCTCACTAATTTGCTGAGGCTAGCTTCCAACTTTTGATCTTCCTGCCTCAGTCTCCCAGGTCACTGGGATTACAGATGAGCACCATCATGCCTGACTAGTGGTCTGACTTCCAATACTTATAATTAAAGCCTTAGGAATATTTAGGGGCCTTGCCTACCTCCTTTGGCTCTTCACAAAGGAAGTTAACAGTTCCACACTGCATGCCTGTGTGTGTTTGTTATGCTTTACTCCCTATGCCCCTAAATTTCCCCTCACTTTTGTAAATTGTGTGTGAATTAAAAACCTTGTCAGAAAGTGGAAGCTAGTTTCAGTTTTCTTGAAGAAATTGTGAGGCTGCTAGTCCCAAATTGCTAGTCATGCTCAAGTGGACATCATATCTTATTGGTTGTAGAATTTATAAATCATAAAAGCAATTCTGATACTTTGATGGCAGAGAGTAAGTTTCCGTGACCTGGATTCTAAAAGTAGTACGATTTGACCAGCCAATATTTTAACACCATTTTTTGTGATGAATGTAATCTTATTAAAAATTATTCGTGATACTTTTTAAACAGTAAGGAAGACTTTATTTGGGTCAGTTGAAATAGGCATATGGGACTACCCCACATAGGCCTCCCTTTAATAGTCCAATTTTCCATTGCCCATCTACCTGACCGTATGACCAGGTCATTGGCTCCTGCCCATGAGTGGGTAAAAACCTAGACACAGGAACTTTTACCATTGTCAACTCTCTCATCACTGCTGAAAAAACAGTATGCAAGTCAGCCCACTAAGCTGATTTGTTTGGAGTGATGGCCTTCCAAACAGGATATTGTCCGTTCACCTTGGAATTATCATCTGTAAATCAAGCAGCTCCTTTTGGTTAGTCAAGTGGTGTTTATAGGGTACCATTCAAGTGACTGTAGAACCTGGCAGTGTCTCTCACAGTTCTAGTTTATCCCTAGGGGAAAAGAGGCCCCCTCCTTCGTGGGAATATCCTTGCATTCCCCATGTAATAAGATCTAGAATAAACTATTTCCATTTCACTTTAGAACTGTTCTGAGTAAAGCCTTCCACAGCAAATTGAATAAGGCTTTTCAGACAATTCAGTTTTGCAACAGTAATATTACTTGAGGTGCCCATTAATAGGAACTTCCTTAATTGCAGCATTTGACCTGGATAATGGACATATTCTGTGGGCAGCTATTCTGA